CATTTGTTGTTGTTCTGCTTTGAATTGAGATGTTTTATGCAGCTGTACAGAAGGTCACTAGTAAGGCTTTTTGAATTTGAACTGTGCCTGGGTAAATTGGTTAGAGATAAACTGTATGGATATCCAATAATAACTGCTTTATCTTGGAGAACCTTCATGGAAGTATTTTGGTGCAGACCTGGGTTCAGTTGACAACAAAGTTTGGATAGTTTGAAAGATGACTTTAGAACTTAGCACCAATCCATACGAAAGGGGAACCATGGCACAGTTTAGATGCTGTGAACACAATCTGTAAGTAGCTGCTATTGATAACGGTTCATCCTCCACTGATGGTAGGAAATACAATTTGAACCCACAGTGGCAGAAAACATTCCCATGGCTCATTTTTGAGGACAACTTAATGTACTGCAAGTACTGCAGAGTAGAGACCTGCGCGGGATGGATTTTTCAGTCCCGCACCCGCAGAAATATATCTTATCTGGTCCCACTCCCGCCCGCGACATTCATGTTTTGTCCCGCACCCGCCCGCATAAAAGTAATCTATATCAACTTTTTCAGTACATCGAAGAAATTTACATGAAATGGTTCTGTAACATCTCTTAAGCTCCACAACACCCCCGCATAAACACTCCCGATAAAATATTTGTTATTTAGGCTAAGCATCAACATTAACAAACCACTGTTATTTTTAACAGAAAAGCAAGCATGGGCTGCTGCGTGCATGGTTTGGCATGGCAGAATGAGAGCAGCGCTTCCTTTATTATCACTAAAAGCTGACATCTCAGTTAATCTCTATCTCATAAAGCTCTGTTATAACACAATAAATGCACAATGAACTTCATTCACCTGTAACATTTAATTCATATTCATAGAAGTATTACTATCACTGTTCTTTATGAACAACAGAAAGAGATGGGATCAAACAGGCCTAGTTCATTCTTATTTAAAGCCTTGCAATGCAGAACCCTTCAAAATAAAAGTCTGGGTCAACTTGAAGTGAACTGTGACTGAATTCTATTGCTATTGTGCAGAAGAATACTTCTCAAAGTAGAAGTAGTAAAGCTTTTAATTTGAACAGTTATTAAACTTTGTTTGCCAAAAAATAAAAGGAACTGCTACATTTTTATTTAATTTACATTTTAATAAGTTGTATGCCTTGATTCAATTACCATTTTTATCATACATTTGTATTAAATTATAAATCCAGAAAAATTCAAACAGACAAGACAAGAATATTTGAAAAATAAAAAATTTTTAGGGCAATATTATTTACTGAAGATTTTAAATAAATGATTAGATTGTTAATGTTTTATGGGTTCAATTGATTTGACATGTTTTTAAACTTAAAGATTTAATTTTATAAACATCCTCCTCCACGGCTGCCATTTGGAATAAAAATCAACTCTCTTCACTCTTTTTTGGCGAGGCGAGAGAAAGATGCATTTATTTGTTTCCAGGGATCAAGGAGACTTGACAAATTAACTCCCCAGGGAGGAGAAACACACATGTCCTCCACTCCCTTCCCGGCCCTGGAGTCTTCATTACGGGAAAAATAAGCAGTGTTTTCACTCTCCGTATTGTTTTTTTAGGCATGTTAGTATATTGACAGAGTCATTCCAGGGAGGAGCAGCAGAGCTCTCGGTGGTTCAGCCTTTTAGAAGAGCTTTGGATATTTTCCATCAAAAGTCTCTACAGGAAGGCCACAGAGCAGGATAGAGAGCGAGGGAGATGAGCACCCACGCTTTTGTGTCTAGTAAAGAGACCGCATCTGTCCTTACATGTCATGTCAGTTGTTGACGGCCTACTGGAGCTATATAATCTGAAGGGAACTCATTTATAAAAGCCCTCATTTTGACACAAACAAGTGTGAAAGGCTTTTCTTTGAGTACTGTTAGCTCTCTCGGCCTTAAATCCAGTTATTCAGACAGGATAAAGGGTGACTTATTGCACCCTCTGGACGGCTTGTTTCTGAGCTGGGAGGCTGAACTGCCCTTGTTTGGAAAAATTGTGAGCTTTCACGGGTCAAATGAGGTAGCCTGTGTCTCACTTCAATGGGTATATTTTTTCAGTCTGCAGCATACGCATTGAAATGATCGGTGTGTGTGTGCTCATTTAGATTGTTCGTTTACATGCATGTATATGCATACATATGAGTGTTTGTGCATATGTGTGTCTTGCCTTCCCCCATGTCACATGGCAGATGTTTGACACAAACACATTCCCCAGGGGGGTCTTGTACTCCCAGATTATTGATCTTCAACTGGTAGAGTGCTACAGGCCAGACTAGGGATGGGTATCGTTAAGGTTTTACTACTTACTATTACTACTCTTATCGATACTGCTTATCGGTTCGGTATTTTAACGGTATTCTTATCGGTACTTTTTGTTTTTTATATATATATATATATATGACAAATTAAGAGCTGAATTAACATTGCTTTATATTCTGAAATGTAAAATAATCATTTAATGAAATGAATATAAAACATACATTTATAAATGCACCAGTGTGCAGGCATTTTTAGTGTTTTATACATAAGATACAGTAAGAACATGAACAAAGAAACAAAGTAAAACAAACTGACAAATACAATAAAACAAATATACAAATGAAATGAAATAAACAGTGCTGTCATTTTTCCATGAAGTTCTACTAACATGACTGTTCAGAGTAAGTAATAGCCTACAAAATAAATCTAAAATTAATCAAATGTAAATGAACACTGCATAGTTTTCAGAGTATGTATTGATAGATTAATGCTTATTAAAGCTATAACGTTATTCAGATTAAGAGCAGATTTGCATTTTGATGGCCCAAGCGCCAGTCTGTCACTTTAAGACAATATATTGACACACATCGGATTTTCTCCCAACTGTTCTCCTCCACTTAAGACATAAACTGTGTTTAAGTAAATACTCTCCAAGCCGGCCATTTTGACATTTTTGTGTGTATTTGATCGATTGGACATGCACCCCAAGCTCAAAGTGTAATTTGTTTGTCCGTTTTGGAGCGCGCCGCGCGCACACATTTCAGCCTGAGGAACAGTGTCTCTTGTGCGGATTGTGCTTTCAACGCTTTATTATCAAACATGTCCTGCAATTTAGTAACAGTAAAGACGGCATCTTACAACAATCACCGGTTGAGCTGATTCTGACGTTAAGTTTGGGTTTTAGGGGGGAAAAAATGCGCACTGCTGTGAAGGGAAAGAAGTTGCGCAAGACGAAACGCAGCTAGTTTTTAATAGCTTTACCTCATGTCTTCTTTTGTATAATCCTTAGAAGCCAAAATCGAAGGTGACTCTGGTGAGATAGAATTTGCAAGATAATGTATATATAGCAATAATAAATGTATGTGTGTTTTATTAATTTCTCCAGTACCGATAGCAGAACCGTTAACGTCAGAGCTTATCGATACTCCGGTCTTTCATAATTTAGCCCCGGTACCGATTAAATACCGAGTTTTAAATTGGACCCATCCCTAGGCCAGACTGACCCTTAATGACTTTATCACACACACTACCTCTCAGCTGCACACCAGGGGCCGGTTGCACCAGCTAGACATAAAAAAGATGGGTGTTAGCCCTATGCTGGGCTTTGCAATGTCCAGCTTTACGATAAATATTTACACCTGTTACACCAACTAAAACTACGACCAGGCGCAACTACGCCCCACGTAAACAATGCACATCCATGCCAACTTTGCCATCCATGCCATCTTTGGAAAGAAGACACTTTAGGCTTTACTATCCATCATCCAGAGTTGATAATGCTCAAAAATATAAAAAGTTATAGACACTGAAGTGCCTTGAAAAAAATTGTACCACACTGAATGTTTTTTTTAAATTTCATATACATGAATACATGAAAGGTGTCCTTGAGCAATGCAGTAAAGTATTGGGTTGAAAGTCACATGTATCATAAGTTTATATTTCAAATTTGAAGAAGATACCATGAAAAATTAGATTCCTGCAGCCATTTTTCTATGTCTAGTCCCCCCACCCCCACCCCCTGTTAGAGGAAAAAAAGCCACCAAATGTAAGGGTTCTACAAACTATTTTAGTCATTATACATACCACTGCATACTTTTTCAATTATAAAATAATAGACTGAATCTTAGACATCGAATAAATGATTTATTTGAGCACTAGAAAAATACAATTAGAATAATTTGAGTAATAAAAAGAAGAGAGAGTAAAAAAGAATTAGCTTTTTATGTCAAGTACATACTCTGATTGCCAGACATACAGCATTCACACTGATTGCTGGTCATACAATCAGTAATCACATACAGATGGTAATCATACAGATACAGCCACATTCTCCACAAAACACACACACATATGTGACCAAAGTGTCATAAATGTCAATTTTTCTAAATTGAGGTTTATACATAATCTGTAAGCTGAATAATAAGCTTTCTATTGATGTATGGCTTATTAGGATCTGACAATATTTGGCCGAGATACAACTATTTGAAATCTGAAATCTGAGGGTGCAAAAAAATCTAAATATTGAGAAAATCTCCTTTAAAGTTGTCCAAATTAAGTCCTTAGCAATGCATATTACTAATCAAAAATGAAGTTTTGATATATTTATGGTAGAAAATTTACAAAATATCTTTATGGAACTAGGCTTGCTGCGATAGACTGTGTTTTTGGTTATACCGGTGTTAAGCCGCAACACCAGTTACGTCATTTGCCTACCGCGGCACCGCCCCCCACCGTCTTTTAGATTTTTTTTATAGTAACAAAAATAATTTAGCCTAGTTCAGTTAGAGGACAGACACTTTTAAAAACTAAACGCTCAATGCAGCGTGCCAAACCGTGCGTAACCGACAGCGCACCACGGAGCAGGAGTCAAGAAAGACAAGACGATGGCTAAAAATAGTTTAGAAAGGAAATGCAAAGGCGCCTGTTTGGAAATATTTAAGATTTTGAAAAGCCTATTGACTGGAAGTTTTTTTAAACGTTCGTTTCTTATTTATTTGGTTCCACATAGGCATGGGCCGATTACCGGTTTCAAGGTACACCACGGTTTGAAAAATTCACGGTTTCAAAACCGCAAAAATTTTCCATTATACCGTTCCTGCGGTATACGCTGTTTTTCATGTCTCCTCGAAGACTGAAAGTGTAGGAATCCCTCAGGTTGAGTGCACTGTAGAGAGTAACACGCCCCCTCCCCCTCCTGTTGGTGCGAGCGAGCGGTCAGTCACGTGTGAATGATGGCCGAAGGAGCTTCCTCTGGAACTTATGCGATCGGCAACCGGACGTTTATTGTTTTATTGCAGCCGATCTCTGTTCTGGACTTGCACAAACTGCATTGCAATGCATATCATTTTCCAAATGTCATTTATGTGAAAATATGAAGTCCATAAATGCCCGTTAACAGAGGCCAGAGATGCTGAAGACGGACGCACAGAGAAAAATACTGTAGCAGGCAGATCACTCACTGTTCATGAGGCACGAACTATTGGAAGAAAATCCTAAATATTTCTGAGGGGAACGGACTGTCTTCAGAAACGTTTAGATGGTATTTTCTTTTCATCTCGTATAATTCACATTAAAGCAGTGTTTCAGTGCAGCTCTGCTTTGTTTACTGCGATAACCAAGGAAACGCTGTATCAGCGCCTCCTGCTGTCAGAGAGTGAATCTGAATTCTTAAATACAACTTAACCACTGATTTGTAGTCGTGTCCTCTTTTGGAAGACCAAACAAAGTAGTTTTGCTTTCACAACAAAAAACACTGCGGCCTAGCGTGAGCGAAAGCCGCGGCTTAGTGTGAGCTGAGGCCGGGATAGAGTGAGCAAAGGCGGCGGGGTCGAGAACAGCGCGCCCGGCGGATTCGACGAAGGAACGGCAACCACATGTGACGACCCCGGGCTTCGTCCACAGTGAAAGCCGATCCGGTGATCCACAGCACTAAGTTGATGTATTCCCTCAGCGACCAGCACAGATCAGCTCTAGGCATGACGAAGCGGATATCGTCCTCTTTTGGAAGACCAAACAAAGTAGTTTTGCTTTCACAACAAAAAACACTGCGGCCTAGCGTGAGCGAAAGCCGCGGCTTAGTGTGAGCTGAGGCCGGGATAGAGTGAGCAAGACGAAGCGGATATCGTCCTCTTTTGGAAGACCAAACAAAGTAGTTTCGCTTTCACAACGAAGCACACAATGTCTCCACGGCATGGCGGCAGCGGCAACAATACTACAGTGAGAATAAAAGTTACGCCTTCTTTCTTTGCGTGAACATTTGGGCGGCGTTATGCAAATCTTCCCACATAGTGAGGTAGATATGTGGGGGCGTGTTAGAATGAGCCGTTTTAGGTAGGCGTGGTTGACTCTTAACTTTTATAAAGAATATCTCTTTTGATTTGAGACTTTAGACTTTGCAACTTTACAGATCTTCTTTATGCACCAAGAGCTTGTAACACTCCAAAGAGAAAGGAAAAATTGAAATCGCGTCATATGACCCCTTTCAATCTGCAACTGAATCACACATAAAGAGTGTTCCTTTTATAATCACTGAAGTTATCAGTCAGTTCCATATAATACTAAAGAAGAATAATGATACATTTAATAAGAGTAGAATACATTATTTTTATATAAATATTATATTTTGCATGTTACTGTTGTTAATAAAAGGTAATTTTGTTTGCTTCCCAACTCAAGCTCAATGTTTTACTGTCAAATGTGTATTACCAAGAAATAAACATGTAAAATTATTAGAAATTGCACTTATTAATGCAAAACAATAGTAATTTTATTAATAAATTATCTTTATTTGTAATACCTGTATCTGTAATGTGTATCTTTGTTTTTATTTTTTAATAACAAAGATAAAATAATGGCAAAGATTATTATCTTTGCCCACTTTGGCCTAAATGTCTGCCATTCTTTTTTTATTTTATATTTTGTTACCTTGTTAGGCTTTGTTTTTAAATGGGTTATGAACTGGCTTTTTTTTATACTGTTGTCTCTGGTCCACTTAAGACGTTAAAACGGCTATTTTCTACCCTGGTTTTGAGGCCGGCTCGAGAAACGCTTGGTTTTTATGGGATGCCGCATTGAAGACTTGGAAGTAAACGCCCACTGCTATGATTGGATAATAGTTTTGCATAGTAAACTAACTACAGACTAACTTCATAGTTGGATCCTTCTGTGACTTTGGTTAGACACATACACATAATCAGGACATATCAAGCGATCTCTAACAAAGCAATAGTGACACATGGCACAACTATTTTTTACTCGCATAAGTGTGCCCCATTCCTGTCGGATCCAATTTAAACGGTACAGCATTGCTTTTTAATCTCTGTCTCTCTGCAAATCTAGCGTCAACCTGTGTCTTGTTTACAAAGGAATCCGCAATGAAATGAAGCGAACAAACACTCAATGTTTTACTCACGTGAGCTGAAACTTCATTTAAAAAAAGTTAAACCATGCATTCAACCTAATATTTGAATCCGAAGGAAGGTTATGCAGCGACTGTGTTCTTCCACAATCAGGCACTGCACAATATTTTGCGATCTTCAACGGCGTGTTCATTGCTTGGCTGCTCGATCTGGTTTAGCGTCACTCATGTTATTTCCCTACTATGTCAAGCGCAAATCAGTGGGTGGGGCTACAGAATTAAGCATTGATATTCTTCTGTGGAGGCAGTGTTTAACCTATAGATAGGCACATTCCAGGATCTGGTGTTCACTGGGCCTGGTGTCAATAAAAGCTTTTATTTCAGTAACAAGGACGTTTTCAACTTACAGGATATTCTTTTAGTACGATGGGCCTCTTATACATCAAAAGTAAAAGTTGATTTCTCAATTCATGACCCCTTTAAAATAAGGAAATTAGTTTGGCTGTACTTCTCAGACAACTTGAAAAATAGTAAACCCAACATGACAAAGAATCTTGATAAAGTCGTGAATTGTGATTTTCCTGTAAAAAAAATCCTGATATGATATTTTTGCCATATCGCCCACCCCTACTTTCAACACTTTTCTGATGGTCATTAATGTTTATTTTTGCTGTAACTAGTAGCAAAGAGGAACAGATCGGTTTATGTGCCGCTTGAACTGAGGTGCAACAGCGAACGCCACATTACAGTGTCAAAGCCACTATTTATTTATTTATTTATTGACTATTTAATTTGTGATCAAATTAACAGAATTTGAAAGCTTTATTTCTGATTAAAAGTAACAAAGCACAAAACTTATTGTGATTATTGAATGGCAGGTATGCTACAAATAGTGAATGGACTTAAAGACGTGAAATATTTCCAAGCATTTATACTGTCCCTTCAAGCAAGATGACAAATGGTACAGTTTCTTTTAATGATCCCAGATCATGTGTAATATTTTACTGCATAATTACATATAGAAATATATTTTGAGTTAGGTCAATTACTGTCGGCAGTGTGGTACAGCCTACACCAAGCTTTGCAACTGATATCGCTTATCCTGCCCGAAAAGACCATACACATTACAGTTCACTTCTGCAGTAATAATTAATTCACAGACATGAATCCTAAAAACGAATAATGTCCAAGCAATTCGTGACTTTTCACTTAACACCTACCTAGGCGTAAGATTTAGGCCCATCCAAATTCTATTTTATACCCCTTCCCCTTCCCCTACCTCTCCACCTACCCCTTCCACTTGTCCCTTGAAACAGAGTGTCAAGGGGTAGGGTTGAAAATATTCCCCTAAGAATTGGGACACCACTACTATGCCGTCACACATCATCATACGTCGTCTAGCTCCAACAATACACACACCTATACTGTTGTGCTGGCCCCACGACTTTTATTAATAACAGTTTAAATACTGAATCGATACATTATATTTTCCAGCAACGAGAGGATAAAATCGCTGTTTTTTTAAGTAAACTCACTCTAAAAAGAGAAACGCACAGACACGCATACACGCATCTTTCATCTCTCTCTCTCTCTTGAATTGGCAATATTTGAGAAAGGGGTTTAGCGATTTATAATTATTGGGGGGACTAGCCCCCCTCAATGTCTACGGTGGTTATCGCCCTGATTAGACATGAAGATATGTTGTGGCACTATCGTGCAGTCTATAATGATATGACGTTAGTTAGCAAATATTAGCGATTTTTTTGCAAACATTTCTTTGAGTAACATGACCATAAATATGAACTCACGATTGAATGTAACATAAAACAAATGATTACTTTTCGTTAAAATCTTTATTAATGCCAAAAATGCTTACATTTATGTGTCTTTTTGTTCGCTCGGGCAGCCATGTTGCCCCTGAAGCCGGTTTACGCAGAGATAATTCATACCCCTTCGTTTGAAGTGTGGTCCCGAAAAATCTTCGTTTGAAGGGCTGTCTGGCCCTTCCCCTACCCCTCCAACCAAAAGCGAATTGAGACACCCCTATCCCTTCACGTGAACGCGCGAAACGGAGGGGTAGGGGAAAGGAGAAGGGCTAAGGGGTAGAACTGGGATTGGGCCTTAGTCTCAGATGTAGCACTACGCCTAGATGGTGCAGCAGATGTTAATTCTACGCACTACTTAAAGCGCATTTTATGTCCAGCCTAGTCTTACAACCGGGTGTACGTCCAGCTAGTGCAACCGGCCCCAGGACCTTATGCTCTAAACTAGGCCCCATGGGCCGCTGCATTGGGAGGTCCTTAGGCCCATGAGAGAAGGATCAACAATCTATGTGGGTTCTATTCCAGCAAGGTCCTCAAAGTCTATGGGATTCAGGCTCAATCAGCATCCCTTGCTGCAGGCGATGGGGAGGCCTGGCTGGGTGTGAAGAGATGGAAAAGACAGATGGGTGTGGTTCCCTCTGAGGCAGACAGAGAAAGGAGTTATGCATGCACTGTGATCCCCCATTAGCCTTTGGTCCCAGAGAATACAGTGAATCTTGGTTGACAGTCTCTTTCTTTTTCTTTTTTTTCTCAATCATGGAGTGCATTTATTTGAATATCCGCTTTTAGGTGTGTCGGTCAGGTTTTCCTTTGGACATTTTATGACCTTTCCCTAATAACAATCTATGTGGGTTCTATTCCAGCAAGGTCCTCAAAGTCTATGGGATTCAGGCTCAATCAGCATCCCTTGCTGCAGGCGATGGGGAGGCCTGGCTGGGTGTGAAGAGATGGAAAAGACAGATGGGTGTGGTTCCCTCTGAGGCAGACAGAGAAAGGAGTTATGCATGCACTGTGATCCCCCATTAGCCTTTGGTCCCAGAGAATACAGTGAATCTTGGTTGACAGTCTCTTTCTTTTTCTTTTTTTCTCAATCATGGAGTGCATTTATTTGAATATCCGCTTTTAGGTGTGTCGGTCAGGTTTTCCTTTGGACATTTTATGACCTTTCCCTAATAAAAAAAAAAAGCGTTAAGGCATTCACAAGAACTTACATGTAGGCTTATTAGGCTCTAATTCTTCATGATGATTGTATGTTAGGTCTCAGAATCTGGTTATGAGTAAGACACGTTTGACCTGGCAAAACAGAATTGCGAATTAATTTAGCTATTTTAAAAACACTGAAGCAGCAATAAAGACCTGCCTTTGAGAAATAAAGTAATCAGTTTTCCGTGGCACAAGGCTTTATTTTCTGTCTTGCTGTTTCCTGAGTTTAAATTTGTTTTGTGTTAAGTCAATTGATAGAGCTTTATCTCCATAATATTTATGGATAATATTTATGTATACTTTCGGAAACACTCATTGTTTTTTTGTTTTTTTTCCCCCATCTCTTCAGTTCCAGATTGTAGCATTGACACGCTCTCCACCAATGCCAGCCAGGAGCTGCGAGGCCTGGGTATTCCCAAGGTGTCAGGCCTAGAGCGCAGTCAAGAGAAGAGCGAGGAGACGTCCCGTGAACTCTCCTCGGCCACCCCCTCACTGGTGCCCACTTCCCATCCCAAACCTCCCCTCCCCGCCCCTCTTCACATCCAGCCATCCCGCTCTAACCGGGGGATACCCTTGCCCCCAAGCCCAGTCCAAACCCAGCACCCTTGCCCAGACCGTCCACTTAAACCGCTGTCGCCCCCTACCACCCTTCCTCAAACCCAGGGCCAACAGCCCTCTCAGGCACCCCCAGCCCAGCCTCAGCACCCACCTGAGCCTCCACCTCGCCCAAGGCCACCTCAAACTCCAGGCATCTATAATCACCCCCCATCACCAGCGCTACCGTCCCAGCAGAACCCCACCCAACCAGTGCAGCACAGACCGCCCTCTCGTTGCCATCCGCGCCCAATCTCGGCCTACAGCAGCAGCCTTACCCTCAACGGCCTGAGGTGAGTGGATAGCATATGGGTGTAATGGAGTTAAATATAAAAGCACAGCTTAGCAGGAAGTGTCTGTTACACTCCAGATGTGTTATACACACTGACTGAGCAGCTGTTCTGAGCCCCAGCTCTTAAATACTGTAGCGGAACAGCGTGATTTCTGTATTACAATGTATCAATCCTCCAGTAAGCATGTGCCACAAATCCCTGTTTTATGCATGTTTGTGTGTTGAGTGTGTGTGCGCCTGACAGCACCGCAGAGAGAACCCCAGCTGAGAGATTAGACGGTTTGATTCATTCCCCTCCCACGTCGATGCTGCTGCTGCCTTGTAGCTGGCGGCGGCTTGTAGATAACATTTCCTCTGCTCAACTCAAACACCCCAATATCCCGCAGAGAAGCAGATATTCCCCTCCCTCCTTTCGCCCTTCTCCGCCGTCCTTTAGATTTGTTGTGTAGTCCACCCTGCGCAGTATCTTGCCATTGCACTGCTGATGATAATTATGCTTTGTATTATTCTGTATGTGTGCAGCTTTTAATATAAATATAATTAGATTAAATGATTATAATTAAATGATTACTTAGCCTGCAAATTAGCTCTGTTAGATTGCGTACAACTCTGATAAATACTTTAGCGTGCAGCTGGGAAATCCCTCCAGGAATAACACATTCTTCAGCACTGTATCCACACTTTCCAGGTTTCTGAAACTGGATCCTTTTGCTAAATTTATAGCAGACACTCTTAAAGCAATTTAGTGAACAAAGGAGTTTTATGAATATAGGTAGGAAAAGGAGTTCTCTTTTATACAGGTACGTTTTAACAATCGTTTATTCTCTCTTTCTTCACAGCAGCAGTCAAAGCAGCACTCCAGGGAAGCTCCCGGGCCCCTCTCCAGCCCCTCACCTGCACCATCACCAACCTGCCCCCACTGGGGCAGCAGCCTCCTTCCCCCTGCCCCTGCCGGCAAACCCCACGGCTTCGCAAACCTTCCCCCCCTCCCTGCCGCCCTCCACTCTTCCTCATCACACCAATATGTTTGCATCGCCTGCTGCTCTGCCTCCACCTCCTCCTCTCACCTCAAACACTCTGCCGGTCCCCGGACACCCAGCTGGGAGTGCCTACTCAGGTACCAATCTCTTATCAAGCGTCCTTGAATGCATAACATAAATAAGATCAGATATTATTGCCAGCTGTTGAATCAGGTAATTATCACCAATACCAATATGGTTCTCTATGCATTTAGATAAACACTTCTGAAAAGGGGCAGTACCTATTCATATATGTTTTTAAAACTTCTCCTTTATTTTCCTCTCACTCCCTTTTCCTTCTCCCAGAACAAGACCTTCTCCGGCAGGAATTAAACACTCGTTTCCTGGCATCTCAGAGTGCTGATCGCGGGGCATCACTGGGTCCCCCTCCATACCTGCGGACTGAGTTCCACCAGCACCAGCATCAGCACCAGCACCAGCACACACACCAACACACACACCAGCACACATTCACCCCTTTCCCCCACTCCATCATGCCCACGCCTGCACCACCCATGGTGCGTACCCCAGCCAGAAATGTGAGGATAAGTGGAACACAACAAAAAAAAAATTATAATAATAAACTTGTGGTGATGGTGGCTTCCGGTGTCATTTGCTTCTAGATATTTTACCTGTACAAGAAACAGTCTGTTATGCTGCTTGATATTGCAAACTGGTTTTGTGATAATATTATTTTAATTAATTATTATATTAAATACACTGGTTTATAGCGCAAAGAGTTTTACCGTTTACTGCTTTTATTATTCTTCAAGTTATTACCTATAGAAGCTAATGAGTCGGAAGTCTCGCACATTCAAAGAAAATTGCTTATTTCTGCATTGCAAAATAAGGTGGAGATGCTTGAGTGATTAAAAGGATGACTGAATGTATAAAATAGATGTATACACATTAATGCATGCATATAAGATACAGGGTTCCCACGGTCATGGACATTTCTATAATGTGTCTATTTAATGAATTATACAGGCCAGTTCACAAATGATGATTTATTAGCGAGTCTGTAAAAATCAAATCCATCAACATGATTTGTAAAAATCCCTAGTGAGTCATCAGAGATGACTGGAAAAAATCAATGGTCAAAAACTGTGGGAACACTGTAGGTAACTACTAAATTTGTGCATGTGCGTGCCTGTGTGTGTGTGTATTGCAACGACTGCTGAATTATAAACAGTACAGTATGCTGATTCAGTAAACACTGGAAGTCAGGGCAGTGGCTCGCTCTCTCAATTGTAACCATGTGTTTCTCTCTTGCCACAATGTGGCTTTTCTTTGTTGAAAAACTGCTTTTTCTCTGGCATGCTTCTCCACTCTGTTCTCTGCCCTGAATTTAGAATTGGCAGTCAGAGCTACTGGGGATACGTTTTTGTTCCAGCCAAGCCTTGAGAGCTTAATACTAGTTTATTCATTCCCAGTTTAATGACATCATTTTGGTCTGATGGAGTTTTGACTGAGGGCTTTTGGTTGGCAGGCAGCAGTACCGATTAGTGAGTTGCTTCATACAGACGCTCCCACACACAGCTCGACGGTAACCACACTGCCCACAGGAGCTTAAAAGCTGCTTTTAAACCATTCCAGATTCAAAGACCTCTGAGACTGGCGCTCTGTTAGCTAATGTGCAGCACAGTTTGAAAACTAGTTTGAGAGCCACATTGTTTACTCGTGATTGGGAAACATTCTGTCTGGATCCGTATTAGACCACTCAAACCCTGTTAAATGAGCTGTTTAAAATACTATTTTTAGACAGCCCGAATGGCTTCTATTTGACCATTCACAGAATTGCTGAGTAATACAGATTAACAAGAGAAAGACCTTGCCATAATTCACTGTAAATTGCAAAAACGACAGCCTGGATGGGGCCAGCAGAAATAATGCAGGGCTATTTTCTGTGCTAACATTCATTAATCAGGGCAGAGACCATTTTACTGCCAACCAAACACTTTTCTGGAGAGCACATCAAAGCATTTGGTATTTGCTTTGAGCCTCATGACTCCACAAGATATTTGTCCTAAGTTGTTTGTAGGCATGAAGGACTCCTGTGTGTACTGAGCACTGTTTCTCCTTTCCTCCACAGTTCGACAAATACCCCACTAAAGTCGACCCCTTCTACAGACACAGCGTGAGTCCCTGTCATGTTTTTGGCAATTGCTGTGATGGCTTTTTTCTTCTTCCTTAGTGTAGTGATTGTTCTCATTTTAAATTTTTGCTCCCATAATCTAATTTCATCATGTTTGGCATTATGGGTGTTTTAAACAATAGGGGCCATGCTGGTCACAGCTTTTTTAGGATCCAGCTGTAATTATATCTACAATTAGCCTTAAGTGCCTTAATATTTTTATAAAAACCATTACTACATTAACCATTACTAAATTAAGCACAACTTTTTTTATTAAAACATTATTTCATTAAGTAAATTGGCTGCAAGATATTTTTTATTGAAATGCCTCACTGGTTACTGTGGGGATCTTGATAAGAGATAAAATGTTTCATTCTACCTGCCTGTCCAACAGGTTAATGCAACTTTAATTTATTTGATGTCTGCCCTTTGATTATGGAGTCGCCATTTAGCAATGATTCATTTGTGACACCCACCCATGAACACACACTGCAGTAATTACATGTATTATGCAGTGCGTTGTGATAATAACAGTCATTGCTATCAGAGTTGGTTTAGAGGGTGACCCATATTGTAAATTCATCTCACCGTTAATCTTTGTTGAATGTCACAACAGCCGCAGGTCAGATGAAGGTTGTATCATTATATGCAGCAGAATAGATTATTTGTAGTCTCATCCTTTCTTTTATTCATTCATAGAGAGAAAAACTAAGCATAAATTGTTATGAATTATTTTCACATGGTGTGTATCTTCATATTATGCAGCATGTAATGAAGAGGGTCATTTAAATGTCAGCAGCTGATGTTTTGTAGTTGTTAGTTTGTACAGGGACCTGCAGGCTCCGGTCTCACTGTAGAACTGTAAACAGCTGACAAGATCAAACAAGAACCTCAGGAGTGACTGTGTCTTGTATCCTTTTTCTTTCCTCAGCTGTTCCACTCTTACCCCCCAGCAGTGTCTGGCATTCCACCCGTCATCCCGCCAACGGGGCCCTTCGGATCTCTGCAGGGAGCGTTCCAGCCCAAGGTATCACAATATCAAATGCTGTATGTTGGAATGTCATGACTACTCCCAAAACTAACCTCCTGTGCTGTTCCAAATGTACTCCTGCACACATGGAATGGATCTAGCTAAATATAAACAAATCTCAGAGTCTGTTTCTTCTTTAATGTTATGTATAGGTACAGTATTAATAGAGAATCAATTTCAGATGTTTTCTCGGGATGTTCAGTCTGGTGATGTACCCCAGTTAGCTATCGGTAATGCTAGAGTAAGTGAGAGATGATACTGGATGGTTTAGCTATCATGTGATTGGCTGAAAATACTTAAGTTTTGTCTTTGTGTACTACAGACCTCAAACCCTCTAGATGTGGCAGCCAGGCCTGGAGCCGTCCCACACACACTCCTTCAGAAAGACCCTCGGGTACGGACCCCAAACATGCTCTTTGCAACAAACAAACCTGTGGTATTTTTAAACTAGTACTGAATGACACTATGGGCAAACTAAGTGTTACGTTTGTCTGTCACGTTATACTGTTGTCCACGTTGGTATGCAGGCAGTGATAGGAAGGGGAATACTCTGAATTCTGGCCTAATTATTCCACGAAATGCTTCATTAGAAAGGGAAATTTTAACATTTTAATTTGGTCAGTGATGAAGTGATGCTCGGATGCTAATTAAAAGTCCTGATTGACAGCTTTGTGTCCCTAATCTCTCTCACTCTTGCTCTCTTTTTCCCTCTCCTCTCTAGCTGACAGATCCGTTCCGGCCGGTTCTCAGGGTAAGACTGCATTATCAGTTATTCAGTTTGTTCCCCACAGGACTCTGCAGGAAATAAAGTAAAAGCTCATTACAGTTTAATCCCACCTTACACCGAGCACCTGCCTTCTGCTCCGCAGTCTTTTCAATTAGCAGTGCGCTGGGACTCGACGGTCTCATCTCAGAGTCTATACGAGACTCTATATGACTCCCTTAACACTGAAAACACGTTGTAATTACATTTTCCTTTATTCATTTGCAACTGTGCCTAAAACATGGGAAAATGCAAAGAAACTTATTATTAACTTTCCAAGTTAAATTTTACTTTAAAATGTTCAACGATATTACATAAAATTATAAATAATATTTTCAGATGTACCCAGCATTCTCTAATAGAAGTGTTTAGAAGTTTTAAAGCAATGAAATGAAACTAACATGTATGTAGTCATGTCTGAACAGGAAAATCTTATTTTGTCTCTCCACAGAAACCAGGAAAGTGGTGTGCTATACATGTCCATATAGCCTGGCAAATTTACCACCATCAACAGAAAGTAAAGGTAAGATTTGCATACATTACCAGAATTGAATTTTACTGCACCCTCCAATCAGGATCAACATTACATGTGGAAAGAAATATTATTTGCGGATCTCTTTTTTTTCCTCTTCGTTAACTCTAGTGTTGTCACGGTACCAAAATGTCGGTACCAATACCAGTGAAAGTCCACGGTTCTCGGTACCAAAGCAAAACAAAAACATACTAATTAAAAAACACATTTTATTAATAAAGTCAAACAAAAATAAAATGTGCAAAAATCAATGCCATTCTTTATACCTATTTAAAATTGTTTCAAGTTTTTCCACAAGTAATAAAAGTGTAAACATAAAATAAAAGTAAACAGGTTTCACCCAAAAGTTTTTGTCATATTTCTGCTGCCGCTGAAAAACAATTGTAAACTGTTGTCTGTTTTAGGGTTTGCTGGTGTGCTTCATGATCTTCCTCAGCCTGCAACTGTAAAAGGAAAATATAATATACTTAAGTAAAGCAATGGGCTGAGTCTGACCAAATGCAACATTAGATCAATGATCTAGCTAAAATTTAGCTTTTCAGTAAATAACAAACCTCAGCTTTTATAATAAATTTAGATAAGATTACATATATTTTAAGTCAAGTTTATTCATTTGCAACTGTGCCTAAAACATGGGAAAATGCAAAGAAACTTAATATTAACTTTCCAAGTTAAATTTTACTTTAAAATGTTCAACGATATTACATAAAATTATAAATAATATTTTCAGATGTACCCAGCATTCTCTAATAGAAGTGTTTAGAAGTTTTAAAGCAATGAAATGAAACTAACATGTATGTAGTCATGTCTGAACAGGAAAATCTTATTTTGTCTCTCCACAGAAACCAGGAAAGTGGTGTGCTATACATGTCCATATAGCCTGGCAAATTTACCACCATCAACAGAAAGTAAAGGTAAGATTTGCATACATTACCAGAATTGAATTTTACTGCACCCTCCAATCAGGATCAACATTACATGTGGAAAGAAATATTATTTGCGGATCTCTTTTTTTTCCTCTTCGTTAACTCTAGTGTTGTCACGGTACCAAAATGTCGGTACCAATACCAGTGAAAGTCCACGGTTCTCGGTACCAAAGCAAAACAAAAACATACTAATTAAAAAACACATTTTATTAATAAAGTCAAACAAAAATAAAATGTGCAAAAATCAATGCCATTCTTTATACCTATTTAAAATTGTTTCAAGTTTTTCCACAAGTAATAAAAGTGTAAACATAAAATAAAAGTAAACAGGTTTCACCCAAAAGTTTTTGTCATATTTCTGCTGCCGCTGAAAAACAACTGTAAACTGTTGTCTGTTTTAGGGTTTGCTGGTGTGCTTCATGATCTTCCTCACCCTGCAACTGTAAAAGGAAAATATAATATACTTAAGTAAAGCAATGGGCTGAGTCTGACCAAATGCAACATTAGATCAATGATCTAGCTAAAATTTAGCTTTTCAGTAAATAACAAACCTCAGCTTTTATAATAAATTTAGATAAGATTACATATATTTTAAGTCAAGTGTATATCAAATAGATGGAAACTGTAGTATTAAAAACACTTTACAAAAAGATTCCGTTTGTTAGATAACATGACCTATCAATAAACAATAGTTAAATAGCAATTATTCTTCTTAGGGTTATTTTCAAAATGTATTAATACATAAAATCAGTTCAGTCTGTTAAAATTATCTAATGCACAATGAACAAACATGAATGATCAAGTGTTTGTATTAAATAATGTTGTTCACTCACTGTAAGTTGATGTTAGATAGTCTATACAGGAGATACAATTTGACTGTACTTTCATTTAATCCAAACTGTGTAAATATTTAGTTATCTATACATGCTAGCGTTATCCAGCCAAGAATAACAACTAACCAACTAGCTAAAAAAAAAAGCCCAGAACTGCTTTTCTGACAGACTGATATGACATAAACACTGTTAACCATTTGCACATTCTCTAACACGCATATTTTAGATTCACAATTCATTTAAAAGCCTCTGGTGTGTAAAAATAGTAAATACCATCATGTCCTCCTGTTTTTTTACCCCAGTAAAAGTTATAGGCGCATTAAATGGTTAATAAATAAACTTAATTCTAATGCTCATTATATTAGCGTTAGCCGCGCTTATGCTAACAATGCAAACAGCGATGTTTATTTCAATCCGACATTCAAATTAAAATATGGAATAATATTAATAACAGAAGATCAAAATATTAAAAATAAAATTGAAACTTACCTGCTTGAACTCTTTCATCTGATCCGGGTGTCGTTCTTTAAAGTGGTTTGCTAGTTTGATCTGTTTCCTCCTTTTGAGGGGTCACATATTTTAATCGATTTTCAACCGGCTCGCAGTTAATCGTTACATCCCTAGTCAGCACTGATATTAGTAATTTTCTGTTTCTTAATACATTGGATTACTTTAATTATTTTAGTCCCCATTTCTTGATACTCATTACACGCCACCTATACTGCAAGCGAATGAAGTAACAAAACTTAAATGCTTCCGTTATAATTAGCAATCTATGCTGTGAGCTGCTTTGTTGATAGAAACATTCTAGTGTAATCCTATTGTTTGTATTGTATAATGTACTGTGTTTTCACTCCTGTCAAGGATGTATTGTCTAGGCAGTTTTTGCGGGTAGACCTGGGGCCCTTTCAGAAAGGAGGTTAAGTGAAAACTCTGAGTATGTTAACCCTGAAATGAGGGAAACTCTGGGTTTTCCGTTTCAGAATGGGAGGTTTGTCAAACCAGAGAAAGCAGGGTAAGTCGAGCCCGTTTCTGAAAGAGAGGTAACTTATACTCCGCGTCAGTTACCGTGGTAACTTACTCTATGAACCTAACCTGGTCGGGAGCAGATTTTCTTCAGTAAACCCAGAGTTTCTACGGTCTCCTCCCCCTTTTTAAAGTGTAAGCGATGTTTAAATACCTCATTCATTCATTCACGCTGCAAAAATGCTTTTCTTACTGAGTATTTCTGTCTCATTTCAAGTACAAATATCTAAAAATTCTTAAATCACGATGTATTTTCTATAGGCTATAAGAAAAATTATATAGCCTAAGATGTTTATTCTTGTTTCCTGTGAAATTTAAGTGCATTTTACTTAAAACAAATAAAATTATCCGCCATGGAGTAAGAAAAATCATCTTAATGCAAACGTAAACAAGATTATTTTTTGTTTCCCCTACCTCCCCCCGTCAAACACCAGACACCGTCAAAGTGACAAAAATGGTATGTCCTTTTATACTGTAGATGAGGAGGCTGTATTAATTCATAGGAGTTACATTTTTTTGTGCCATATCCACATGCATATTTATTTGGTAGTTTTCTCTATCGGGGATGCAGAGCACATTAGTAAAACCGCTGTATGCAGAGCCGTAACGAAGGTGTGCCTCGCTGACTTTCAATTGATAACATCTTGCGGCGACCTCTGGAAGTAACCCAATAATTAGAATTTCCAGTGTGGTTGGATGCATTGATGACACACATATTCACATCATCGCACCTTCCAAAAATGAAACAGATATGGAATGATTGACTGAAGTGTGTGTATTCTAAAGCATAGGGAGGGCCAATGTCCTGCAGAGTTTAGCTCCATTTTGCCCCAACACACTTGCCTGGAAGTCTATCATGCAGACCTTGATTAGCTGGTTCAGGTGTGTTTAATTAGGATTGGAGCTAAACTCTACTGGATATTGGCCCTCCGGGAGAAGGATTGGACAACCCTGGATTAAGGATTACTGAACACTTCTCTGAAAGTCAGTTGATATTAGGGATGCAACAATACAATTAGCCCACTGTTCAATACATGTCTCGGTTTTTTTAACCACGGTTTTTGGTTCGGTTCAGTTCAGTTCTGATGGCATGGCACATCAGGTTTTTTTTTTTGTTGTTATTCTAGGCTTAGGAGAATAACAAAGCGTTATTTGATAAAATTCCACTTGCAGACTATCCTATTGTACTGTGTAATATAAATAAAATCAATAGACTAGTAGAAATGCACTGATATACATTTTTCATGGCCAATTTTTCATTTTTTTTTGTTCAATACATGTCTCGGTTTTTTTAACCACGGTTTTTGGTTCGGTTCAGTTCAGTTCTGATGGCATGGCACATCAGGTTTTTTTTTTTTTTTGTTATTCTAGGCTTAGGAGAATAACAAAGCGTTATTTGATAAAATTCCACTTGCAGACTATCCTATTGTACTGTGTAATATAAATAAAATAAATAGACTAGTAGAAATGCACTGATATACATTTTTCATGGCCAATTTTTCATTTTTTTGTTTATTTAAATTTTTTAAGCAAGAGACAAGAAAGAATGAAAATAGGAGTACAACCCATGAAAATGTTATGCTTAAAGCTTTACCTGATTTAATTGTTTTTATACTTCATTTTTAGCTGCTGTCACGTTCTTCTTTTTTTGCCCATGGGATACCATGAAAATTAATATTAGTTCAATAACCTACCGTTCTGCCAGTTTTCACCTCTGTTATTATAACAGTGATTAAGAATTAAACTTATGCGTTGACAAAGTATGCAGACATCTTTTTGTCGGTGCTATTGCCATGGTGAATCATAATTTCGTAGGTAAGATGAAAAGAAAATACCATCTAAACTTTTCTGAAGACAGTCAGTTCCCCTCAAAAATACATTTATATAAACCACCAATATTTAGGATTTTCTTCCAATATTTTGCGCATCTTGAACCGTGCTTGCTCTGTCTGCTACAGTTTTCTCCTCATTGTATCCATCTTTGGCCTTTGTTAACGGTCATTTACAGACCTCTTAATATTTCCAAACAAATTACATTTTGGGAAATGATCACAATGCAGTTTGTGCAAGTCAAGAGATTGACCAAATCAAAACAAAAATGAAATAAAATGCATGGAAATTAAAGGTTAAATATTATATTGAGAATTGTGGCATCCCTATTGGTTATATATGTATTGCTAAAATGTTTATACATTCATTTTTAAACTTAGGATTCAGTGGGGAATGGAGGTATTTTAAATCTGGTTAAATTCAAAGCTGTAATTCATTAGTGATTCACACAATCATTTCATTGACTGATTTTTTTGTTCCTGTTTTGACTGACAGAGCCCTTCAACAGACCTTCATTTGGAGGTCTAACCTCATTAACCACTGCAGCCTTTGGTGGACTGGGAAACCCAGCACTCGGTGAGTGCCAATCAATCAACTGTTTTGTATTAGAAAATTCACCTTCAGTCAACAATTTAGAAATCCAGTAAATTTATATATTTCAGTTATCAGACTAATTGTTGGTTGAAAAGTCATTACAACACATATTTAATATTCTGACATCAAAGAGTAGGCCTACTCATGCATGAAATAGAAAAGATCAAGATAAATATATTTCAGTTATCAGACTAATTGTTGGTTGAAAAGTCATTACAACACATCAAAGAGTAGGCCTACTCATGCATGAAATAGAAAAGATCAAGATAAATAAAATCTCACCATGTGGTTTTTTTTACGTCTCCCAGCATCCAACTCTGTATTTGGCCACAAAGATGCACCCAGCGCACAACAGCACTTCAGCGGACCCCACGAGCCATGGAACAGACTCCACCGTACTCCGCCATCCTTCCCCACCCCACCTCCCTGGCTCAAACCTGGAGACACTGAACGCAGCGCATCAGTTAGCTCCCATGAGAGAGAACGAGAACGAGAACGAGAAAGGGACAGAGAGAGAGAACGTGACCTGGACAAGAGGGATTCATCAGTCAACAAGGATGATAAAGAGCGGTGTGTAGAGCTGTATGGATGATACTAACCAGTCACATGATATCATCTGTCAGTGATATTTTTATTTTTTTTAAGTATCAGTGGCATGTATTTTTACGATTTTTACAGTCGGCTGGTCATTGCAAAATAAACCCTCTCTGGGTTTATTCTGCCAAAAAAATAATTTGCCTGATAGTAATGATCCGTTTCACCTCTAGGGAAACTGCGGAAAAGAGGCACCAGAATCACCCATCCCCGATTCCTGTTAACCCCCTCACTCTGATGAGTCACACCCGATCATCTGAGCCTTCCCGGAACCACATCCCTTCTAGTGAGTCTCGGGATAAGGACAAGCCCAAAGATCGTGAGAGAGAACGAGAGCACTCGGACTGGAAAGACTCCAACACAGATGAGCACAAGGTGAAGGAGAATCACCACAGTGACAAAGACACTCCCGTCATCCACGACAGCCGGGTTTCTGAAGACAAGCTGGCAAATCGGGTTACAGCATCACCCTACATGCGGCCAGGCACCATAGATCGGGTGAACGGCGGGCTGACTCGAGATGTTCTGGAGAAGAAGAGCGATATCACCTATGAGAAGAAAAACAGTGAGGTGAAGGTGAAAGAAGAGCGAAAAGAGGAGCAGGATGGTCCCACAGGGAGATCCCCGGAGCAGAGATCCACACCACAAGCACCTCCTCCTGCTCCTCCTGCTGCTCTCCACCCTCCATCTTCAATGCCTGTACCCATGGGCATGCCCAGTATGCATCCCATAAACAGTATCAGTAGTCTGGAGAGGACTCGTATGGTGGCCCCCTTCATGGGTATCAGCCCCATCCCAGGGGCAGAGCGCTTCCCCTATCCCGCTTTTCATTGGGATCCCATGAGGGACCCTTACCGGGGACTCGAAATCCACCGGAGGGATCCGTTAGCTCGAGATCTGCTACTGCGGAATGAACCCCTGCACCGGTTAGCAGCGCCGCGCCTTTATGAAGCAGAGCGCTCGTATCGGGACCGTGAGCCTCATGACTTTAACCGAGACCTCCCTCACGGATTGACCTTGGAACAGCGGCGGGAACAAGAGCGGGCGCACATAGAGGAGCGGGAACGTCTCCACTTGCTCCGAGAAGACTACGAGCAGGGGCGTCTGCACCTGATGCATCACCCCGCTTTAGACGGACACCTCCCTCACCCGGGTCTCATGGCCCCTGGACTTCCCAGCATGCACTACCCCCGTGTTAGCCCCTCCTCTGCCGTAGCTGCCCAGAATGGAATCCTCAACAAAACCCCTCCCACCGCATCACTCAGTGCCCCACCCCCTCTTATCCCAACCCTGGGAGCTCGTTCCATGTCTCCCAGACGGACTACCCCACTTGGCACTGACATTAGAGACAGACCCCCTTCACACACACACAAAGACATCGAGGCACGGTGAGACCACTGATGGACTGAAATGGAACTCAAAAGCAAGCACTTGAGGCTGTATCATATCTGTGTATAGATTGTGCATTACTGATTGTTTTTTTGTGCATTTTGCTTTTGTACAAAAGACTGAGATTTTTCATGCTCTTTTATCCTGTTCGTTGCGGTGTATTCTTAAACATGTACAGTACACTGATCTCGAGCAAGTGGACAAGCGCTAGATCTCCCAACATGGAAAAAATGGTCTTGGAATGTACAGGTACAAAAAGGCAGAACTTGTAGATATGTGTAAAGTCGGTGTATTTCTCTCCTTGAGGGAAAAAAAATTAAGGTACAATTATGCAAATGGGTGTTATGAAAGCTTTACTTTGAAATGCTGTACATAGTGGGCAGTGATCAAATGGATAGCGAGTGGACGGTCTCTGGTTTTAGTTTCATGCTGCATATTAATGGTTTGGAAAGCTCATATTGTCCAAGAGATCACATCCCTTCTTTCAACTATGCAACTCATGCGTGGGCGCTCTCTCTGTATCACTTTTTCTCTCCTCTAGAGCAGTGGTTCCCAACCCTGGTCCTGGAGGCACCCCAACACTACATTGTCACTACATGTCTCCTTAATCAAACACACCTGATTCAGGTCATCAGCTCATTAGTAGAGACTTCAAGACCTGAAATTGGTGTGTCAGCGAAAGGAGACATGCTAAATGTGCAGTGTTGGGGTGCCTCCAGGACCAGGGTTGGGAACCACTGCTCTAGAGGACAACCAGTCTCTCTACTGAACCCTCTCATTCTCCTGTTGGAGCAACAGTACATGCTTACACATTACTCAGATTGTGATTGTTCCTAAATGGGATTTTCTGCAATGAGTTTTACTCGCACATCTGACAAACATGTTCCCTAACTTTTGATCCCGAAACATGCTTTTGTTATTCAAGCTATAAAGATCTGTGTTGACAATCCTTACAAATACACCAGTGTTCCAAGAACCTAACAAAACCTAAATTCTCTGAATTACTTACCTCTAAATGAAAAGTCTGGCAATTTGAAAAAGACTGCAAAATTACAACACATCCCATCATGTCACGAGAAGTTTGAGTACAGAAAGCAGGTAAATTCTCTATTGGTCTAACTGCGTATTAAAGTGTTATGTATCTACACAATGATAACGTAAGCTATGGACAGTTTGTTTTTATTGAGCAGAGATCTATTTTAGTAGTCCATGGGAGGGATAGTTGTGTGCTTTTAAACTTGATCTGAACAAATTCAGATGATGTGCAGTGTTTTTTTTTCCATTTAATTTTCTTTTGCTCTTTTAAAATGTCCACTGAAGCAGTAGTGGGTAGTCAATACGTATTGCAAAGAGATTGTAAGAAACTTTTTTGCTGTTTATCATTTACGTAAAAAATTAAGTCATTTCTAGATCATGTACAAAAAAGGATGAGGCGACAGCATGCTCCTCAGTTAAACTTGTGTTATGTAAATTGTGCCATGTTATTAAAAAATGTGACCTAATCATGTCCTAAAGTTTTTGTCAATACTACCCATCAGAAAAAAAAATCAACACAATACCCATAAGCCAAATCTGTTAGCAGCATGTACAGCAAGCAGTAGTATTATTGCTTATATTTAGGATTAGTGGTTATTTTCCTGGAGAATGATAAAATGGTTGAAAAAAATCTCAAAGAGTGACTAAAGTTCACATGCAATCAAAATTGACGCGATGCACTGTTTGCGTGCATTGCTAGTCTTTTTGGTCAAACTAATCAGTTCAATTTAACTTAATAAAAATTGTCTTTGTATTCTTCAAAATCTGAAAATGTACTTCCACTCTAGAATGGAGTTCATTCTCTGATTTTGTCAGTGTGATGCCGTTTGATAGCATGGGCAGAATATTTTTAACCACTCGAATGGTAGTTTGCTACGAGTGAGAGAGGAGGTACACTAAAGTAAAACCCCACCCTCTGTTTAATATTCCATTCCAACTTCCGGCTCACGCAGACTTTAAAGGAAAGACCTGAGATATACAGTATATAAAATCCAAAATATCACTGAGTACGTTTACATGGACATCACATCAGTAATTAATTATTTACCTTATTCTGAATGCGACAGTATTATGATTAAGGTTTACATTGCGCTGCTTTTAGAATATTCCTTTCATGTTCCCGTTTTTACAGTACATATATTAATGGCACACGTGATTATGTTCCCCACGCCATCCGACATTCCCTCCAGAATTTCACATATCAACACAGTTTCATTTGTAATTTTTACGAAAGCTTCAAGTGCAGTTAATTATATGTCATGCTATACGTGCAAACAGACGACGACGGATAAAAATGAGCCTTCTTGCTTGAAGTAGAGGTCTGCAATCCCGTCTATTCGGGTCGGACTCTGGCTCATTCAGCTTCTCTCCTTTTATTATGCCCATATACGCGCAGAGCACATTATTGATTTATTGAAATATTGTTTTATTGATTGTAGTATAAATATTGTACATCACCGCAATAAGCAACGCATATACGCATGCATAGCATACAGGTGACAGTTGACCATGCAGAGCATCAGGGAGAAGTTGGAGCGTGGGGAGTTACTAAAAGTTCCCAATGCTTCGGGAAAAGCTGCATTTTGGAAGAGTCTTGATTTGATTACTGCAAACATATCCTTGCACATAACAGCAAAAAACGCACGCAATAGGCTAAAGCATGCCGTAAAGCCCCAGCAAAAGTAATTACCATGAATGTGTCGGGGGGAAATAGTAAGGAGATATTTGAATTATGTATTAATAAATTAGTGTTTTCTGAGTCTGTGTCGCAAAGATGAAGATGAAGATCCTGACTCGCCTTTAGAGAGAAGTGCATCTTTACGGATTTTATAATGAAAGTTTTTGTTTTCAATTTGTTTTATTTCGTTTTAAAGTAGTAATTTAAAGCTTTCTGTAGATATATTTAACAAGTCTGTGAGGCAAGTATTCGCTGAGATTCGGTTCATCACTGTGAAGCGCTCCTGGCCGAAATTGCAGAAAGTGCATCCTGTATCCTTTATTTTATAAAAGCACAATGTTGTGTTGATATTGTGAATGCAAACGTAGACCCTTTACAGTTCTGAATGCTGTATTACTCTTACCTTTGAGCAAAAATGACGGCATATTTTAAGTTGTTTCCAATGCAAGTGATCGTGCCAGCGCCTCCTGTAAAGCGCGCTTAAGCTCTCCACACAAACGATTAGATATGCGTCTAATAGCGCACATTTATATAGGTTAAACATTTAAACTAACATTGTGATATGCTTGAACTGTTTCATATCTATAGATTTTATTTTAGGCAAGTCCTGATGATTTGAGAAGGCTAAATTGATCAAATTTTGAATTTTTTTAAATCACAGCTTCATCGGAATGGTATCAAACTTGGTGACTTTTATGGCATTTGGAATGTGAACACACCCAAAAAAATTAAGGGCATGATTAGAGCAGGCTAAGTGGTCGTAAAAAAAGTGTCACACTTGTGGTCTTCGGTCAAAAATGACCGACTGTAGCTGTCGCAGAAAAGGTTGTATTTTCTTTTATGTATTTCAGTCATTTATTTTGTGAAAAGGTATTTAGTTCACAAATGGTGTGTAATGTATTATGAATGTTAATTTGGAAATTGTATTTGAGTATTATTAACTTGGTATTACTGGGTAATAGTGACACCTGCAGGTGAAATATGTGTAACGTTAGTTGAATTTGTCACGTGATCTAGTCATGTGAGTATCAGATCCACAAAGAAATGCACAAATGCTAAGAGCTGTTCGATTGTTAGATCATTTGTTAGAAGGAATGCCTACATAAATGTCCTCTAATGTCTCCTGGACTTCTGATTAGAAGGCGCACACGGTATGTTGTTTATTCTTTGGATTTCATCTGTTAATTTGCAAAGTTAATGTACTGTGTGTATTGATATTGGTTCAGTAAGAAGCAGACTTGGTTAAACTGGGGTAAAAACAGGAACACACTCACAGGTTATGTATCTGAATGTAATTTTATTTATTTCAGTTTTTCACGGTGTCATGATGTAAAGATGTAAAGAGGTTGATATCCAAAGGGTGTCACGATGTTCAAGTGATGTCGAAATAGGATCAAGATGGCGATGAGGCGATACTTAAACTCATTGCAAAGAAGACATTAAACGTTAAGACATCAGTTGAAGCGTTATTCTTATAATTAGAAGAAAACCTTCAGGAGCCGTTATACCGACCATAGGAAATGAATGGGAATTTGACAAATTCTCACAATCTACAAATCTGACACAATGCAGAAAAAAGTACACAGCAATGACAGGGTGAAACTCTAAAACATCAAGAGTGCAAAGCCAACACATCCACTCACACGCATACACACACACAGGTTTACATTTGTGAAAAGTGGGGACATCCCATAGGCGTAATGGTTTTTATACTGTACAGACCGTATATTCTATTGCCCTACACCAACCCTACCCCTAAATCTACCCCTCACAGGAAACTTTGTGCTATTTCAGATTTTCAATACACTCCATTCTGTGTGATTTATAAGCATTTTGAAAAGTGGGGACATGGGGTAATGTCCTGAAAAGTCACCTTCTCCTTGTAATACCTATGTCATACCTTTGTCATTGTACAAATGTATGTCCTCATTTGTCACAAAAACACGTACACACACACACACACTTATAAACTGGTGTCACCGTAACACAGCAAATATGTAAAATAAAAGCAATAATTCAACTACAATGAAGTAAAAATTGGACAGCAATGAAAGGGGTTACACTCCAAAACATCAAGAATGCAAAACGGACACATTCACTCAAACACACACTCACAAACATACATAATTATACACACTCAAATGAATTGGTATGGCTATAACTATATAGCCAAAACAAGTCAGAAAACTGAAATAAGAGGTTGAAATCAGATCAAACACAGAAGGATTAAGCTCTGATAAAACATTTCTGTTCATTTTTATAGAATTTTAATGTTTTGTGTAATGGAATGCTTTCTCTGTGTTGCGGTTTGACTGTAGTAATAATAATAAAAAAAACTGACGCTTCAAATCAACATTTCAAACCAAAAAAATCTAAACCTTTACAAAAAGTTGTCTTTGAGAATGTCTAAATATATATCCAAACCCACAACTTAATAAAAATAAGTATTTATGTCTAAAAACAATTAGAGAATTTATAGGCCTTTTATATAGAGCTATATAGGAATCTATGGATTAAACCATGGAATAGCAGATTTTTCTTATTTTACTCCCACCAGATGGCACTAATCTGACTTTTAAAAAATGGGATTTTAAAGGTATTGACTATTTTAACATGAAATACTGCATTTATTGAACAGTAATACAATTTTTTTTTTTTTTTTAAATTGTATTATTTTCCATGGGCAGAAATTCATAATTATTGCATAAATATGAATTAGTACCATGAAATTCTCAAAATACAAAAGAAAAAATATTATTGAACAAAAATATATTACATTGATTTTACTGGTGCGGAAAAAAGTAACATTTCAGGTGTCCAGTCACTTTTGACCGTGAAGTTCACAAGTGTGACTCCCAAAT